ATCCAAACTCCTATTCCCTATTCCTTTCTATTCCAATTCTAGATTCTATCAAAAGTTTGTTCAAAACAAAGCGATGCTTTTTTGTAATTATGAGAATAAGCATAGTCCTTGTATTACATACAAATACAAAATATAAAAGTTAAATACACATAAGAATTCGTACTCTTCATGCAAAAACTAAAACATAGATCTCCACCTTTTTCATTGTAATTATAAAATTGGATAATTTGTTCTATTTTACAACTCCCAGATATGTGAGAAAAAATAAACAAAAAGAATGAATATCTATCATACATTTTTATTTTCCATTCCAAATCAACTAGTTGTCGGGAGCAACCAGTAAATGTTACAAGGCCATATGAGCAAACTGAAATAATTATGACCCCACCATGACATCAAGGTCTCGTGAGCAAAAACCTTAAATTAGCAGCAGATAAACGTACAGTAGCATTACCTGTGCATCAGTAAACACCCGAAAAGCATATATTTCGGCGTTTGGAGCAAAACCAAGACATTCAGCATCTTGGCCAGCAATAACACCAGCCACAAAAGTTCCATGTCCAAGATTATCATTTAGCGTATCTTCATTTGTCCAATTTGTGCGTTCCTAAAAATTTTCCAGCCCATGATCAAGAACTAAAGCAAGAAAAGATGAAAATCGAGGGAAGAGCCTTATTCCACCTCACGGCAAAGGATTACCTTGATATTACGAAAATGTGGATGCTGTGCTCGAATTCCAGTATCAAAAATAGCCATTTTTACTTTTGCACCAGTATACCCCTTAGACCAGAGTGCATCTGCTCCAAACAAGGACGTAATCTGAGGTCCCTGCAAAATACAGCTCGGATAATGAGCCTGGATAAAGTTTTAAAAGAAAAATGGAGAACAGAGAAATTTTTTAGAGGAAAGTATTCAACCAATTAACAATCGACAATGTTACTGAGTTCTTTTAACAGAATTTAAGCTTCACATTATGGAAACATAGAAGAGATCAAGCGTTCCAGCAACTTGCTCATAAGTTAAGTAAATGGCCTTCAACTAACCTGCCCATTCAAATACAAACCACAAAAGCATACAGGCGTAAAAAGTACAAATTGCTCATACTAACAATAAAGGACAAGAACATCTTGTCATGATTTCCAATGGGATTTATGGGAATCTGAATCTCACATCGGAAGTATAGGCTTCCTTTGTGTGGCTTATATAGACTTGGGTTCTCCAACCACATTAGCTAGCTTTTGTGGTCCGGCTCTTCCAAGTTCTATGGCACATCCTCATTCAAACCAGGAAGCAGTAATCTTATCCTGTCAACCAATTAGGATAAGCTTTAGATTATTTATTTCGTGCAAGAACACTCTGTTTCCCGAAGTGTCTTTTCCTGCAGTAAGAAACAATGATTTCTGGAAGAAACCAGTGGGTTCTCATTCAGGTCATTGGGCAGTAATTTACCCTGTCAAGTTGGTTAAGGAAAAGTGCCAGGACAATTTTTAATCTCCTTGGTACTAAAACAAGAATAACTGGCCAACTTCTCATCCTATGATCTGACAGTCAAAGATTGCAGTAAAGGAAAAGTAAATACGTGCCCATCAATACATTCAAATTCAATCTTATTAGAGATAATACATCTATTCAATTGTCAATTCATGTAAAGATACAATAAACCTAGATATGACCTTATTTATTTGGGCCTTTCAATGAGTATTAGATTATTTCTGAATTGACTAGGTGTTCTAAAACTAGGAGTTAAGCTAATTGACAATAAATCTCAGACCCAAGGAATATACCATAAATAAAAACCTAATGCTCAAGATTTTATTAATAATGTAAACTTCCACCATTCAGATGAACTCAAGATTTTGATTTTTCTCAATTATCATCTATACTTCCATTCACTCGGCAAAAATAAGTTCTTCCATTCAGATATTACCAACCAGTAATATGAAAAAAGAACACATTTATTCACACCGAACAAGAATCCCAAAAAAAAAAAATCTCACCCGCATCATCAGATTCCTCCTCCAGGTAATTCTTGAGCTACTCGCGCTCGCCACTGCATCATAATTCTCTTCTTCGTCAAAGGACATGGCGGTGAAAATCTTGCCTGGCCTTTTATTACCATCCACGAAGGCCCCAACTTTCCCATTATTCTCTTCAAGAACCCCTCTCTGGTAGCTCAAATCCAACGACACATCCTTCACCAGCTCCAATTTCCCAAACTCCCCAATCAGAAGTTCCAACATAAATTCTTGAATCGCTACAAGTGCGAAATCGGTGTCGAATTTCATTGCAGGGTTTTTCCTCTCGACCCATTCCCACCCCTTTAATTTCACATTGCGTTCAAGATATTCTCTGTGGTCCTGGGCTTTCTTGTACTGAATGAATCTGATTATGTGATTCTTCACATGGGTTTCTCGAGGAGGCTCAATCTTAATCGAAGTTCGCTTTTCTTGGTCAAGATATAAATGGAAAAAGAAGGAGAACAAAAGGACAAGAAGTGAGAAAGTGAAGATGGAAATTTGAGGGATTGAAACGCGGGTCATGGCTGCAAGACTGCGCGATTAAACGAGGAGATTCTCCTCATAGGGCTACAGATGAGGCCTAAGGGAGTCGATTTCTTAAATGGCGGAACCTGCAGAAAACAGGAAGTGAGAAGTCTTCGCAAATTTCGTTTCTTTTGTCCGTGTGCGTGTTTTCGAGTTTTATTAACAGTGTACACTTTGTTTTGAGCTTCTCTCTGTATGGAGACCTTTTTTTCAGTCACGTTCTTGATCATTTTTTGTTCCTTGCGGTGTTTAATAAAAAAAAAAAAATTGAACCCCAACCTTGAGGATCCCATCGTCCCGTGCCTAGAGTATCGTGGAGGAGGTAAATGGCGGGATGTGCCTCAATAGGCTAGGGTACAAGAGTTGTCATACTGGTGCCCACAAAAAATTCAATTACATATTTTGTAAGAGGTAGGAATCGAACCCTCACACTGCGACGGTCAACTCAATTGAAGCTACCTTACTCATGTAATTTACACCACTGAACTATGAGCTGCGGTATTTTTTATTTTGTAATTAGATGGTCCTCAAAGGCTTGCTTGGGGTGTTGGGTACTAGTTTTATAAAGTATCGATTTGGACGTCTACGAAAAGTTCAATTTTGAATGATTTTTGGAATTGATTTTAGCATGACTCGACCCATTATTGGAAATTCTTGATTCACCGATTCTAAAAGTTTTTAAAAGATAAAAGTACATGTATACCCAATATAAAAAGGTAGGCATGCGTAAACAATATAAAATAAAATATATACGTCACTAAGTGAAATTTTCAATTAATAATTTTATGTATTTTTTTTATTCATGTGATGTTATAAGTAGTTTTTTACATATAAGATAATTTTTAGCTTAAAAGTGAAATATTTACTTAGTTAAAATTTTAATATTATAATTAAAAATTTACATTTTACAAATATGTTAATTTTACGCTAGTAAGTAATTTTTTATACATGATTGAATTTTTTACTTATAAATTTTTATATTTTATGAGTGAATTTGTCTTTTAGTGATTGTTCCTTATAAGTAGTTTTTTATAAGTAATTTTTTTAGTAATTATATTTTATATATATATAATTTTTTTGTGTATAATGAAATTTTTATTTTGTAAAATAATCGTTTTAGAGAGGTTAAAATAAAAGAAAACTTTGAAAAACAATAAAAAAAACTATCGATTTGGTTGGTTGAAAAGTACGATCCAAATTACACTAGTTTTTGGTGGTTTAGAAAATTAGTGTAAACCACCAAAAACTAGTGCAGTTCTCAAATCACTCAAAATCGACGCTCTAACAAATTAACAAGCACTGATTTTCCTATCCTCATAAATAGTGACTAGAAAATGATCAAAACCCATTATAAAAACTCCCAAGCATGCTTATTATTTTAATAGCAATGGAAGGGTAACATGGTATATAATCAAATACAGATGAGATCGACAATTTAAGGAACAGAACGAGTGACATTGTTGGACTCAAAAGAATTTAGGTATTCATTTGGCTTCGGATAGAAAGAACTAGATCAGCTATTATTTTTTGTTGTTTGTAATTTTTCTAGCTCCAAAGTAAAACTTGATTTTGCATATAAGTTTTGCTTATATCTGGTGTCTCGTCCTGGTCAGTAAACTTGTGTCCCTATTATTTCTCGTATGAACATAGTAAGTAGTCTGGAGCCCTCGTTCACTTAGCTTTTAGAGCCTATGAAAGGCTTTATATTGAACTTTGAAGCCTACTTATGATCATGCAGCGGCTATTCTGCGCTTGAAGCGGAAAAGACTATATGAACAACAAATTGAGCAGCTCTGAATCCACGATCAGGTTGACTTTAAATTTTTGGTTATTGCAGGATGAATTGGAAGGTGCGGAATTGGAGGAACAGCTCCTTCAGCCTGCCGTTGCAGCCCCTTTTGCTCCAGTGCAGGTACAAACAGGCAGAGTACCTGCTGCCCCTAAATGCACCACGGAGGAAGAAGAACTTTCCTGATTTGAAAGCAGAAATGGTACTTTCACCGAGTTACTCCTTTTGTTTAACTGTTTACTATGTTTTACCATTTGTCAAGGTTGTAATGAGGATATATTTAGCCTAGTAAGCTAGTGAATCGCGTATTGGTTGGAACTCCAAATTCCAATTTTATTCAGTGTATATGATTATTTTGTGAGGCTAATTGAAATATTTTCAGTGAAATAACACATGTTTTAAGTTATTTTGTCGTATTGATGCACCAGTTACTAGCTAGTATTGATTACAAATATGTTTCCTAGATTTCGATTTCTTAATTTAAATGCAGACTCAAATGTTACAGAAAGTACAACTGCTAATTATTGTGGGCAAGTAGGTGAACTTTCCCCTTGTATATAATACTATAGCTCTTTATGTTGAAAAAACTATCTCAACTGAATCCCTGCAATGTCACTCGACATGTGACCTCTTTATTTATCACCTTGCGCCATCCATAAAGCTATCGTCTAACAATTAAGTAGGTCGCTCTCCGTTTTGCTGGCTTCAATAACATCTTTTATACTCAAGAAACTGGGTTGATTGGTTGAAGACAGAAGTCTTGCCCACATTCTATCCGTTATCACGACCTTGTGCTGTTTCTCGATAATTCTCTGCATGCAACATTATAATTTCTGTATCAGGAATAGAACTCAAAGATTCATCAATCATTCGTAATGAAAAATAACTTCAAGATAATTCTAGATGAAGAAGGTATACACCAGCCTCTGTGTGATCACCGGTTTGAGTCTCAGGGACTAGATTTAGGGAAGGGAAAAGTTTCTCCACAATCATATAAGATTATGAAATACTAGCATAAGTTACTTAAATCATATAAGATTCGAGAGTAGTACAAGCTTTTTGCCAAGTAACTCACATGGAAAGGAATGTAAGCATGTCTGCCATTGACAGGTCCTACTGTGAAACCTGTATAACCCGCCATTGCTCCATGAACAGCACTTTGAGCGAGAAGCGTACAGTACACATTGTCAGATGCATTGCTGGGAACAGCTCGAATCATGTACATGAGATCTGAGACGAGGCAACAAGAGCAAACATTTAGTCAGAATAGCCTTTTCCATTTTAATTTAACAGATGAATATCTTAATACTAACCTATATATTTGAGATTAATTGCCATCTTACTCCGTTTAGAAAAATGATCCTGAAAGTCAAAATTCATAAATATAAGCACTTCCCAAGCTTTATATGGAACGCACACAAGAATGATATACAAACTCAAAAAGTAACCTTAATCCTTTGCGATATCCACAGCCCAACATCCTGTAGAAGCTTGTTTCCAGAAGCATCTTGCTGATCTGTAGAGTGCAAACTCTCAGAAAGTAGCTCCTGCCCTGCACCTTCAGCTATGACAATAACCATATGTCCATTTTCTTTGAGTCGTTTCTCTATATACTCGAAGAGTCCACCAGGTCCTTCGAGATAAAACGGTGACTCTGGAATAAGGCAGCAATCGACATCTCGGCTGGCAAGAGTAGCATACATGGCAATGAATCCTGCAAACATATGTAGTGCTAAAATGTTAAAAACTACAAGATTGAAATAGAAAGCAATATGTACAGTGAAAGTAAGCAATCAAACTGATTGTGCTTATTAGATGAATGAACGCACAATTGATAAAACTAACACATCAAAAGGTTGGCACATGCATTGACATATACTCATTTAGATGAGAAAAAAAAATCTACATATATATTAGCAAAAAGCTTACCACTGTAACGTCCCATTAACTTCACCAGGCCAATACCATTCTCAATACTTGTAGCTTCAACATGTGCTGCATTAATAGCACGTTGGGCTTCCTCAACAGCAGTGTCAAAACCAAAGGATTTGTCAATAACCTGCAATAGGAGACAGTATGAATTTAACATTTTGATTGTTCTTTTGAGGAATATAACCATAGGTAATGTCTCATTCTAATATACCGGAATGTCATTATCTATTGTTTTGGGGATTCCGGCAACTGCAACCTTGAGACCGCGTCTTCTAATTTCCTAGTAGGTTGGACAAGAACATAGTTTAAATACGATTAATAACATTTGCAAAAATGATATTAGTAGAAACATGAAATGACATTAATATTTAAAACTTAGAAAATGATAAGACTGATTGATTTACGTGCTACTGTCAAATGACTAAAACTAGTAAATATAGACACTCAGTTACAGCAAGAAGATTACCTCAAAAATTACTGCTGCTCCTTTCTGCGTCCCATCTCCTCCTAGTATGTAAACCTGAACTCAGAAAAAGAAATGGAAACCATCAGAATTAACGAGGCTATGTGGGTTACATACAATTCAGAAGAAGGAAACTTTCAAAAATTTGAAGACTGGCTCATATTTGTTTTACATACCTGATTAATTCCGCGGTCCTGAATGCTGTCAACAATCTTTTTGGTGTCATGACCACCTCGAGATGTCCCCAAGATTGTTCCACCACGTTTGTGGATATCATTCACGAACTTCGGCGTTAAAGAGACGGTGTTTTTGGAGTAAAAACCACGGTATCCTCCCTACAAAAACACCAGTCCCATCAGTTAACAACACCACCAAAGAAAAAACCACACAATTTTACTGAATTTCATGTAAAAAGAAACGCCAATGATGGACCGATGGAATTTCCTATGATATTTAGATTCTTATCAAACACGAATGATGATCAGTTCATAGAGGCTAAGTTTAATTTTTTGTCACATTAACCAGAAGCTGTAGTAACCCAAACATTGTAGAAATATTTCACTTATGCATATCGCAGCAGGGAAATTTTAGTTTAACACGAAGCTGTTGTACCAAACAAACAACTTTTATAGCTTATCCGTGACCAAATGTTAACTAACAAAATTCGGGCATAAATTCTCTTATCAGAAATGTGGAAACAAATATAATTTTGCAGATGTAGCGAAGTGTATACTTACAACTATTCCCAGAACTCTCTTGACATCATACATATGGTGCAAGCCGCATACAATTTCCCGGATAACTGTGTTAAGGCCAGGGCATAAGCCTCCACACGTGACAATGCACGCGTGCACTTCATCAGACTTGAAGTAAACCTGAAAATTACCCACGAGTTCATTTTACTTTAAAGTAAAGAAAGATTCCTTCCAAATTTTAAACTCCAGCAGTTCATTAACTTACTCTTTGGCGAGGACCTGCACGTCGAAAATGCATCCGAGAACCTGATAAGAACACTTGTTGGATCTGCAGAAAAATAATCAGTATCAGAAACTAATTAGTAGAAGGGTATCCCCAGAAATTTATCGTTTCTAGAAAGAGTGACCTTTTGGGCAACTGTATCATCGTGATCAACAAAATACTGCCTGTCCACAGGTAAATTAAAACTAATTAAATCGATGCAACCTTCAAACGTTAAAAAGAAATTATCAGGAAGAAACATAAGAAGAATTGATATAAACAAAAAAAAAAAAAAAAAAATCATTC